ATGTCTGCTGTTGAGAAAACGCTGCTCATGTGGTGGGCGAACACTAGAGATAAGCTGGAGTTTGCCTCCTGAGCAGTCAGGTTGGACTTGTGCACTATTCTGTGGGCAGCCTGGTGGGAGCTGCAGACCATGGCCTTGCTCTGCTCCGCTCTTCAGGCGGGCGGCAGCTGGACAGAGCGGTCAGAACCTGGCAGGGATGTGGTGTGAACGTCACACAGATCTGGGAAACCGGGGCAGTTTCCTGGTGACCTCTGGAAAAATGCCATTATGTTCTACATCTGCTACCAGGCTCAGGGATGGTTTTATCCACAACTAAAAAACCTCAGATTTTATTCTTCCAAACCAGTCTCATTTCTAAAGGATTCGTTACCAGGAATTTTATGAGCAGCTCTTGATATTTAATACAGCCAACAGCATTAATAGTAGTTTTATCCCTTTAGTCCTTTGTTATTGAACTAACATAGGATTCTTTAACTTCTTTCTTTTTATTTTTTTTTCTTAATTGGGATTTTCATTTATCCTGGAAGCTATTTCTTACTGACCATGTAGTGGTGTTTTAGAAACAGAGCAAGTTGCTGTATAACTTGAAATGAACAGGATTTTCATTAATTCCCTTTTGGCTAAAAGCAGCTTCCATACCCAAGCTGGCATGGCATTTGTACTACTATGTGTGTATGATATTAATGCTGAAATAAAGAACAAAAGTTATCTGAAGTTCTATAAAATCAATAGACACAATAATGTGACTTTCCCACTCACAAAAATAGCAATGCTCACTTTTTAGTAACGCGATACTCATCCTATTTTCACGTTGCTAGCACTGGGTGATATATGGGATGATATAATCTAATACAGTGCTTCCTGTCATCTGTTTTTAGGAAATAAAATCATCCATGGCAAATAGAAAGATGATACAATTCCACTAAAGACTGTATTTACAACTGGAAGTCCATAATGAATTTAAGCATAGAGACCAGGATTAAATAATGTGTGCAGGATTGTGTGCAAAAGGGATTTGTGGGCTAGGGTTATTTACTTAGTACCCAAAATTCAATAACCAGTCTATAAGAATAAAGTGAAGCATAAATCTTTCCTCAGATCTATTAAAGTCTAAAGTTTGAGTCCTGGGCACACTTTCTAGGTACAGTGTGGAATGTCATGGGAACTGATCCTGTATTTATAGAAGTCACCATGTCTTAGGTTTGTGTAAGCTGAGGATCATACTCAAAAGATTTGGACATGAGAACAGATGTTTCCAGGGTAAAAGGGTCTAAACCAGATAACCTTTTAGACTTTTAAACTCCAAAGCTCTGTATATGGGAAATCTTCATTTTTTGTCAATACCTTCCTTCGTTTGTAGTGTCGTGCATCTGTTAATATCAAAGGTAATATCAAAAAGCCTTATGGAAGAACTGCTCACGGGAACTCAGTGCAGTTCTTGCTCATGGTGACAGAAGGTTCAGGCTAACATAAGAGAAAACACTTGCAGAGACACAACATCAGATGCATGGAGTTTTTTGGAAGTTCTTTTTTTTCATGTATCTGGAAGAACAAAATCCCATGCAGAGGCACTTTTACTAGTGAAGCAGTTGCCCTTTTTGCCACCTGTGATTCCAGTCAGGAATGTGCTGAAAGAAACAACCCATGAATTAGATGGGTTGATGGTGGGGCTGTAGCAGGAAGCTGTGTCTACCATAGTGAGGCTTATGGGCTCTCCAGGCTTCTCTGTGGGCCACAGGGCTGTCTGAAATGTTTCTGGTGCTGTGGCCACAGTCCATACATCCCTCCTGAACACCCTGGCAGAATAAGGTTGTTTCTGTAGTTGTGCCTGAGGTGAGGAAGTGTTCCTCTAGCCAGAAGTGGGGCTTTTATGAACTATTTCATGGCACTCATAAAGGGATATAATGAAAATAAGACTTTTCTGGTGTTCAAAATGGCTAGCTCCAGCCACTTCGGAATTGATGTTTTCCCTCTGATAATGTGTCCTGGCTTCCCTGGAATCATAAATTGTCTAAGTTGATTCGGAAGCTAGGTATCCTGATTCTTTGTTTCTTCTTCTGAATTTCATCTGGTATTGTTGCAGCAAAGCAAAGGGAAGCAGCTCCCCAAACACTCTCCTTTTCTGAGCGTTCTGTCCATCATCAGGCTGATGAGCCATTACCAGTGCTAAAAGCCTGTAGAGGACTTCCTATTCCAGCAGTCTTCGTACACACGTTGTGTACAGGTTCTTCTGTAATGAACACACACAAATTTTGAAGTGGTGTACGCCAGTGTTTTCTCTGTGCTCACTGGGCAGTTTCAATCCTGGGATGCGGCTGAAGCTTATTGCAGAACTCCCATGCGTTCACGAGGACCAGAATCTGGCCCTGTGCATGCTTACCTTGTTTTTCTTCCCTTAAAACCGAATCAACTGATCAAGTGACAATAGCTGTGGTGCTATGAGGCTTACAGGGCACGTGGAGCTCTGCAAGGCTTACATGCCTCGTGTGTGTGTCACACTGTCTGTCACAGGCGTTGCGCATCTGTAACACATACAACGTGCGGCTGCTTTCCAAAGAACCTCTTGTTCACAAGGCTACCAATGGCACAGTCAAATCCTCATTTGTGCTGAGATGAACCCTGCTGGCTGCAGTGAGAGGCTCCAGAAGGTCAGTGAATACTCAAAAATTGGCCCAATGATACAAGCTTAGGAACGAGCCAGCAAGTTAGATTCACATAGAATCAGTTTTATTGCCAGGTAAGAAATTCATATTAATATAGTGAATACATATGTTTACAAAGAAACATTCTTAAAAAACAAACAAACATTTTTTTAGTAGGAAGTATTATTGGTATCATAAACTCTGTAGTTAACAAGTATTAACACGGGTTTACTTACAGAACATACAGTTACTAAAATATTTCCACATAAAATATGCTCAAGTTACACGAAACCTGTGTGAATCAGAGTGCAGCTGTAATGTGTATCTAAAGCATATGGATTAACATCAACATTCCATAAAGAGTCAAATTAAGTCAGCCAGTTGTGAAGGCAATAAAGATTAAAGGAAAAAGTAAGATAATGGAGAATCTGGGTTGTGTGCAATGTATTTGTCCCATGGGCTTTGTCCACTTCTGATAGTCTTAAAACAACCATACAATTTAGCAGCACGCCTATGGAGAGATGCCTGTGCTCTCAGGATGCGAATCAGTCTCGATATAGCAAAAAAACCCCCACAAACGGTCTCCCCACTTAACCACATTTCAAATTCTTAGCCCTTGCATCCTCGACTAAGAAGAAACACTGCCAGTCAGTTGCGTACAGTAAGAAACGCCACTTGCAATTCTTACAACATCATGGTTCTCACTCCTCCCTGCGTGCTCTTCCAAGTCTGCTCTCCAGAAGAAGTGACAGCTGGTGAGAACGTGGCTGTAGTAAGATAGCTGGCTAGGAGTTAGCTAAAGGACTTGCTTTGGGGGAAGGGCAGGGACTGAAGGGAAAGACTGAGTGTGTTGCCTGCCGTCAGGCTGCTGCAGCACCACCCTCCCAGCCCAACTCGGTTTGTCTCTTTGTGGATGTGCTGGAGCCTTTACAGGCCTGGGACTGTGGGTCTGCTACCAGTGCCTGATTCAAGAGGGGTTCTACTCGTGTGAACAAGACATCCAGCTCATCAGAACCACAGTCAAGAGCAAAATTCCAATTGTTTGTTTAGTTTAAACCCAGATCTCTTTGATGTTTGAGGCTAGTCTGTTAGCCTCCTCCACCAAATAGTCCACCAAGAGGGAACGCCACTATAGAAAGCCAAACAATAAGAGACGATATACCATATAACACTTAGTTAAACTACAGAGAACTACTATGGCTAAAAGCAAATACAAAATGAGAGACAAGAGGGAAAAAGTTTAAATTGGGAAAATGGAGGGGCTAACTAAATAGTGACTGTGTAAACCACTGCATGGAGATGGAGTCCAGTTTCCCTTTGGGACAAACAGAGGAGGCTGAGCAGGGCAGAACCCTTGTCATCCTTAGCAAAACGTGAGGAAATAGCTTAAAGGAACAGAGGAGTCACTTTGAGAATCAAGACTGTCATTGAACAATAGTAATACAGTAAAGGCACCACCCACGCTTAATTTCAGTCTGAAGCAGTTGAAGATAGGCAAAACATTTAGGTGAGGAAAAAGTACTGACAGTCTGCAAAGAGTGAATTGTTACCACTTGCCTGAAAACAGGAGGACTGAGAGGGAATATTATGATGCCCTTATTCCCCCAGCAGCTTTCTGTGTCATAGGATATGTCTCTTCTTATTTTGGAGGTTCCCAAAAATTCCAAATGAAAAGAAGTAAACTGAAATAAAATCTTCTGCTGTTTTTATCATCCTGCAGAATTCGCCACCAGCCAGAAAGGTCCCATATGCTCTTAATTATAACAGTCTTTGTAAATTCCTCGTGAAAGAGTCTTTATCCCTTATTGTATATATATTTTTTGCGCTTTCTATAGGATAGTGTTAAAGTACAATAATAGATGTTAGGGGTTGTACCAAGGTGTTTGCTCTTGGATTTTCACAGGTCTAGGGATTATTAATAGGTTTTATAGAAATTCCTCTCTGAAATAATATATTACAGTATATTGTTCTCTCTTTCTTCCTCTGTCTCAAGGCAGGAACATAGTGTAAATGTTTAAGCAGACATAAAGGTTCTCTAGATTGTGCTACTTCTCATCATGGATTTTAGTTTCAAGTAAAAAAATTTAGTCACAAGGGTTTGTGTTCCATTGTGAAATACAAATGGAGTTTATATTTCAACCTTCAGTGTGTATTGCTGCATGGTATTAACCCACTCTTCGGCCTACAGTTGACTGGATACCTAGAGTGTCCAGGTGGAAGTTCCTTCATTCTGATCCCTTTTTTCAATATTTTATATTTTTAAATTTATTTTTTGCCTTTCAGTTGAGTGTTTGTATTGTGTGTGTATTTGAGTGTGGTTTTTAAAGGATTTCATTAAAAAAAAAAAAGAAAACAAACTCAAACAGTTACTTCTGTCTTGCTGTTAGTTATGAAGTATGGCTGTGGGCCCAAATAATGCTGGCTCCGGGTTGTCAAGGGGTCGCTTAATGTTGGGTCTCCCATACCATGCTTCCCCTTGTTTGTGTACGCTTGCCGTCTCAGGGACTGGTCGTTGGGATCCCAGGTCTTGTAGTGGGAGTTGTAGCCCAGTGGGTGTGTGTGGATCTTGGCGAGCCTGGATTTTTGCCCGTTCTGTTTAGTGAGGCCGCTGTCGATCGTGTAAGCCCTCTCGTCGTCCAGGCGCACAGGATGGAGCGGCAGGCTTCCCTTGGCAGCCAGTTCTGCAAGGTGTCGGCGTTTGGTGTAGAAGTCATCGTTGACTTTGTCAGCTATTGGGGTTTAAAAGGAGGAGGGGACAAAAAAATCAGTTGGACACAAGAAAAACGTCATGCAGTTTAGGGTAGGTTGTGCACAGTTACATCTGTGGGCCAGATACAGTTACAGGTCCATCAGTAGGAGAAATCTACGACACCTCCCACCCTTTATTTTCTGTCTGTAGTGTATTTTTGGATGCCATATATATCGGCTTCTCATATATGCAGACAAAAACCTGTTGCTCTTTAACACAAGACTGTCCTTGCCCCAGATCACTCTGGTTGTGCTGGTATTAATTCCATGGGGACAGGTCCTATGAATCTTACCACTGCTCATCCCACATAACAGGGGAAGTTTAGGAAGTGTTCAGAAGCACACAAACTTTCTTGGAAATATTGGGGCATCTTGGAATGCCCCATTGTATGACAGCACTCCCCTTTAAGTGCAAAGGGTCATGCGGGTGTTTGACCCAGCCAGTTGTGATGGCCAGTGGTGTATGAGGGACCCGTTTCTGTTGGGTAATGCCTTAGGGCAAAATGAGGAATGGGATCTGTTCTTCTAAATGGTTGGAAGTTCACCAATGCTTTATGAGGCTGGAAATCCTTTTGGTTGCTGAAGGTTAGGTATTTACCCTGGGATTTTACAAATAGTGAAAATCCTAAATTCCAGGTTCTGACATCATTTTTTGGGGCCACTGAGAAATGCAGCACTAGCTCTGCCAACACACACTACATTGCAGTCGTCAAATGAGGATTTTGCCCTCTGCGACTTCCTAGACAAGTGTCTTCCAGTGCAGGCTTTTGCTCGAGCTTGATTGTTGTTATTGCTGGCATTTATTTGGCCTTGCTTAAAGGTATGAACCGTGCTCAGGAAGCTAAAGGCATTCTGCAGCAGTCCAGCAACTCATCTCAGTTTTGAGACTGATTATCGGGGGTTTAAGGGGAGCTTAACTGAATTTCATTTTTTTAAGATCTTGCCTTTTATGTAAAGAGGGTTTATTTACCCCCTTCAGAAATGTAGATCTGGATTTAAGATAGTGCCAAATATGTAGATCAGTGGTGTGCTCTGAATATATGATGATGTCACCCTGGATTTGACTTTTGCTGTGCTCTGGCTGGATCCATCCGTTTTCCTTGAAGCTATGCCATGTAAGGCTTCTCTGCAGAGATCTCATACGTGTAGCTGTCTGTACAGCTCAGCCCCTTTTGCCTTCATGATGAGTAGGTTTTTAATTCCCTGCACTGTTCTTGTTTATTTTCTATCTTTTTCTCTCTCCCCAGTATTGCTAGGAGGCTTTTGTTGCACTCTGAATTTTCTTCTCTCTAGTTCTGAACTGTATCTTTATGCAAGGCAGTGTAATTCCCATGAGCACCACATTAATTTTCAAGATCAGGCTTTAGTTCTGCATCCCCCTTGTCCTGGCCCCTCAACAGACAGGAATATTACCAAAAACAGTTGCTGTTTATCATCTCATGACACTTTTTAGATAATGACTGTGTGACTGGACTTGCTCTTAAATCCTTAATTTTGTCATTAAAGAAGTGTTTTCTCTTCGATGAACTGAAATTGCTCGACTGTGTTGTAGTATTAGTCTTGGTCTATCTTACCCATCTCCATCTGTCTCTTTTTTAATCAATGAATAAATGTTTTACTGGAGCATACAGTTGTCTTCTGTGTCTCACTGACTGCAGGTAAGGGCCCCTTCTCATTGCAGCGCGGGATGCGCAGTGACAGTTGCTGATGGACCTGTGATGTGTCACCAAGAAAACCTGCAAAGTTCTGCTTTGGTTTGGGGATGAGATGTTTCAGTTAGAGATCTGTAATCTGAATAATCATCAAGTTTTACTTATTTCTCTTTGGAAGAGCTTTTTCCAGTTCTAAATGTGACTTGTCCTTTTAATTAGTTGATATTCACTGAATGCCACAGAAGAGTATTATATACAAGCTGAATAAAAACAGGAGGGAAATGCAGTCTATTGCTGATCTCTCATTAATCTGTCTCCAATAATTGAGAAAAACAGCTGCAGAAAAGGCATTGTGAATATCCACATGAGTATTTATTTGTATACATTTTACATCAAAGGCACTGCAAGTCAGCTGGGTTAGGGGAGCAAGCTTCTGTATCTTAGGACTTAAACCTTGTCTGTGTCTGAAAAGTCAAGCTAGCCTATGTAATTTACATTCAGTGTAGCTAATTATGTCCAGCTTCTAATATCGATACATTTGTCTGTTTTATATTTAAATTGGTTTAATTTGCATAGAAAAATTAAAAACTCAACTAATCTCCTGTAAGGATAGCGTAAAATTTCAAGTTTGTACTTTTAATTTTATCTCACTTAAGCTGCAGCAATTTGTCTTCACATAACCAAGATCTTTGACCAACTACAAGGTAAGTAATGGTTTCTGTTCAGAAAAATAAGAGTGGTGATGCAGTTACGAACATAATGACCAAAAACCTCGGATATTTGCATTGCCTGATTCTTCGTGCCATTTTTCTCTTTTATGGCGAAGTGAAAAAGGCCACAACAAGCTCAAGCTATTGCCTTAGTTTCTTTTGATTTTTTTTTTCCTTGCTCACACCTTTTCCACTGCCAGCAAAGTTCCTGGTTTCTGAACTCTGCCAGACAGTAGATGCGTTACTCAGATCTGCAAACACATCAGGACTGATGTCCTCATGGAAAAGTAAATCCTATCACTGGTGCAGATAAACAACACCCCCACTGTAAAACTGTGCAAGGAAGAAATCAGTCTTGCAAAGACTCTGCCTATGACACATCTGTGAGATCCATTTTCCTCTTGTTTATGCCACGATCTATGTAAAATAGTCAACTCTCTGTTTCTTATGGAAGATCATACAGAAAGTGAAATGATTAATTCTATAAATATGGTTACATTCAAGCTGCTTTAATTCAGTCCATCGTCCCTTTCTAGGGACTTCTCGACTCTTCTCTGGAAACTGGGCTTGAACAGAACAAACCAGGCTGTGATCTGTAAATCCTCATTAGCCAAGCCAAGCAGAAAGCTGGCAGACATCAGTTGAATGACTGATAGCATGCGGTCTGTGTGGCACTGGCAGTGTGGGAGAGCTGCTCGTTGTATTTGTTCTGATCAAATCATTGTTTGCAGGGTTTTGCCTGAGAATTCCTTATGTATGCCTAGGAGTTAAATGCTAGCAGTGGAAGCCAGCCTCTTTCTCTGATGTTTTAACAGGTTTACACATAAGTAGATGTACCGGAATTGGGTGGGGGAAAATGCCACTGTAGCAGATAGGTAGCAAAAAAAGCATTGATAAACACAAATTCTTCAGCTGTTCAAAAGGGCTCTTGGCAAGCCTTGAAGTCCTCATTCGTGCATACTGACTAGATTATAGGTTCTATGATGCCAGTGTGCTGTGTCCCTGTGTGAGTGACCTGATGCCAGTACAGTGCACAAGTAGGGTTTTTTACTGGTTTTCAAAGCAGAAAAGATTCATAAGAGTAGTATTGAACGTGGTTTTGTAACAAGTATTTTATCAAGACGAGCATATTTGTAGTATCCTGGTGCCAACAACTTTAAAAATCCACTGTGAAACTCAGGAAATTTTTTCTTATTAAACAGCCCCTACAGATATTTTTGTGGACCTTAAATATGCAAAGAGACATTTTGGAGCTACAGGATGGATTTATTATGTGACCTCAGGTACATGACTCAACTTCCCTCTGCCTTGGTTTCACCAACTGTAAAATGAGCTGTTAACACATTGGAGGAGGTGGTTTAGTGCTAGAAAGGTTCATTCTTTGTGGAGTATACCGAGTTTTCAGATGAAAGGTGCTATAGAAGTGAGTTTTGCATTGGCTTCTGTACCTAAAGCAGAAAAGTAGGATTTAAAGATATCACTATCATGTTTGCAAAAGGAATAAATGATTAGAATTGCAAAATTGCCAAATGAACAATAGTCAAAGAAGAACTTGAATTCTGGGTATGATTCTTTTTGTTCCCTCCCTCCAGTCTTGGCTGCCAATTATGAAAATGTTCTCAGTTTCAGTATTTTTGTAAGGTTTTTATTCCTTCAAGGTAAAGCACCCACAAAGTTAGTTACTGTTGTAGCTGTTCATCTGGAAAAAATGTTGAAATATGAATTTTTTCCAACCTAAAGCATGTGCCTGGGAGGGAGGAGAATCACAGAATCACAGAATCACAGA